ATTAATTTGGAGTGTGGCATTTGAATTTGATTATTACCAAGTATTTTGTGTCAGGATCAACCATTTTCCTAAGGAAACACCCTCCACCCTGAGTAAAAAACTCCCCACCCCCCATCTTCAAACTCCCCCAAAACAATGCCTGTAAAACTAGCAGAAATTTTTAAAAGTTGGATCCACTTTCAGGCCACTTTTGTCCTCAAGATAGGGGTTTCAGGGAAAGTATAGAAGTGTCAGAAGGAGAGTTTTTGTTTTGAAAATCAATATTTCCCACCAAAAAATGTTTTGCTGAAGATTTCCAAGCCATTTTAATTCTAAAAAGACCAAAATCAGGAATGTACATGAAACACTGAGCTACAGAATTTCATTTCCACTTTAGATTTCTTCAATAGAGGTAAACTAAATTACTCCAAACAGCTGTTCAGAGTAAATTTTATTTCACTGAAAGTGAAGCATTTTATGGAGCTAGTTTTCATCCGGACAGTACTAAAGAGATGGGCAGGCTTTTCCATATTTTGTTGCCTAGTGCCTTGCTCAGAAATCACTACACGTGCAAGTTTCAAACTCCCATTTTGTAAAAAGCTCTCCCTTGATTCAGAGCAGGTCTTGAACTCAAAGCTGCTGTACCCCACCCATACCAGTCCACTCACTGCTGGGGATTCAGCACTCACATACTTCTCTTGCCAAACTGCAACATTTGAACAGAAATTCTGTTCAGGCAAAAGCATTCAAAAAGTGTTGGTTTTCATTCCAGTGTGGAATTCAAATCAAACTTTGAAACCTCAGAATTTCTACAAAATGGAGTTTTTCTCCAGTCAGCTCAAAGGGCTGCTTTGTGTCTTGGGATCTTGCAAAATAACTAGATCCCAGTTCTGTGTCTGGGACCATGTTTTGTGACTTTGTGTTTCTGGGAATTTTTAAGACACTGCACAATATATTGGTGTCGAGATATTTAACTTGAGTTCTGCTAATATCAAATATATTTTTTCTCTGCTCTGTGGCTTTGACTAGCAGTTGAATAGGCAGCAGCTTTAGAGCTCACAGGAGCAGCAGACAGCAAGGAAGTAGTTCTGTCAGTACTGGCTGGGCATTCTGCTGCCCTGCCATTCAAGTGTGTCCTCATTTCACTGCCATTGTTTTACTTATTCCTTCCAAAGTTCAATGACACTAAAGTAGTATCAAAGACATGAAAACCAACCTAAAGAATTTGCAAGCTCTAGGGCTTTGAAGCTCCCTGACTGAACAGGGGCTGTACAGTGTTTCCATTTTCCTTGGCACCTGAGCCCTATTCCCTCAAGGCTTAGGCAGTGTTAAGGGTTATGCAGATGGTTTGTGCTTAGTTTAAACCACATACAGGAAGCTTTCTTTTAGCTCAACTTCTCCATTGTTATGCTATATTAATAGGCTCTTTTGAAGCTTAAGAAAGGACTGGTCCACCCAAATAATAGTTGTGGGTGGGGAAAGTTATTTAGAAGCACGTTTGCAAAGCATGAAAGGCTGTTTCATTTAACTATTTCTTTGCCTGCCTATACAGCCAGATTTTGCTCATTCCAATGCTCAGAAAGAGGAAGCTGCACTCCTGTTTTTTAAATTACGAGGTTTCAGTCATAGGTATTTATTTATAAGTGAACATATTTATTCTTAGATTCCTGTAGTCAAGCCATAAAATGTTGGCTAGCCACTGTGCAAACATACAGCTATGCTCTGAATTTTGATCCTGTCTTGATTTTGTACACAGATTTTGCAGAGAAGTACCCTATCCTTAGTTTGTGCTGGAATCAGTGATTTGATTCTGCTCATATCATCAGGCAAAATCAAAGACAGTTCCAGAAACTACTTGCTTGGGACACACCTCAGTGCCACCAGCTCTTTGCTCTTGCTATCCCCTTTAATTCTCCTGTCAGGCAGCTTGGTCCCCTCCTAAGCTTAGAGTTCAGCCTTGTCAGTCCTGACACTCAGTTCTCCCTGATGTGTGCTCATTCTTGCACTTCCCAGACATTGAGTGGGATTTGCCTAGTGTCTTAAATACTGAAAATTAGCAAGTCTTTGTCCCTGCTGCTTTAGGTGGGGTTGTGCAGCTGTATGCTTTTCACCCCCTGCTTCTCTGCTTCCTCCAAGTGAGCATGCCAAAGCGGATGTGTCACTTTGCAGCAGGGCTGCAGGATGATACACTGCTCAGGGGGAAGTGGCCAAACTGCTCAGCTTCTGCTTTGATTAACTTTTTTTTACATTCTTTTTCAAGTAACATTTGCAACATTGACAGTTTTTTCCCTTCTACCCAGAAATTCCCCTGTACCGCAAGCAGAGCTTTCTCTTGTGCAAAAAGAGGAAGAGCTGAAGGAGCTGAGAACTCTGCTGGAGAGTTCTCAGCTGTAGAGCGAAATAATACAACCTGCTCTAGGACATTGTAGGAATGATTGGAGATCCTCACACAGTCCATAACAGTAAAGGAACAGGGTGTGTTTCTCCTCAGAGCTGAACATGCACCCAGCTGCCTCTGACTGCTTGAAAGACAACTAATACATCTTGAGGCTTTTGTCACTCATTTTGAAAGATATTTCTATTTCAGATATCTGGTCTACATGCTGCAGCTCTGTGGCAAAGAAAAATGACTTAAAATGCCCTAAAGAAACATTTTCATCATTGTGAAAGAGTATACCCTATGATATGGATGACATGTTACTCATTTCCAAGGGCAGAGTCCAGACTTAAGCATGCTTTTCTGTGGTCAAGAAAAAGCACCAAAAAAACAAAACCAGCAAAACTGAACCCCAAATATTCAACAAAATTACTTTCTCTGATTGTTATAGGTCATAGTTGTGTCACGTAGTTGTGCCCTGCTAGCAGTCAAAACTCCAAAACAGCCATCCCACAATGCAGTCAGTTCTCCTCCACCAGGGTGTTTCCCAAGTTCTTAATAAAGCAGATTTTTGAGAAGCAAAGAATGCACAAGGGAATAAGCTATGCAAATCTATTTACTGACAGTGACATTTGACTTTCTAAATATATTCCTCCCGTAAAAGCCATACAAACACAGCAGGTTTTTTTCTCCTCTTCAATATGTTTAAAAGCAGAAGAGTTGGCTTTATTCTGTGATGAATTTTTAGGTATTGTTTTGATTTAAAATGTAATAATTTTAAAATTTACTAACATTTTGTCAAGAGAAACTACTGGAGAACAAGGATTTGTGGTATGCATAGGTCTGGAAGGAGGGATTACTTCAAGTTCTTTTGCATAAATGAAGGAAATATATTTTTGTAGGTACATGTCATTGACCTGTGCTAGGCTGGGAATGACAGGCTAGAAAGGCACTTCTTCTTCCTTGAAACCCTCTAAGAGGCTAGGATTTAATTACTCGCTTGCATCTGGTTGATGAACCTTTTAAAGAGAGGAAGCACATCCTGTTTCAGGATGCAAGCCTGTTTCCAAATAAAAAGAATATACTTTTCAGATGTCGTATCACCTGCCTTTGAACAGCTGGTGGCTCCCGCTAATTGCCAGCTGAGTTTACATTGGAATAGTGATTACAAGTGAAATTGGAGGGTCAGAGGCACTGCTTGTTCTAATTGTAGACTTTTTGCCCTTATCCATTTTAGCATTGCTCACCTTTGTTTTGAAAGGCACAGAGTAGGGGAAACAGAGACTTGTGGCTAATGTAGTTAGTGACAACTTCCCTTCAGACCTTATTAAACTTTTCCTTTTCATATTGACTTATTTGGCCTGGTGCACAGAGCCTGAGTCAATGACGTGGCTGTGAGCATCCACCAGAGCACCAGGCTGCCGCCACAAGCCACTTGCTTAACTGTAGCTGCAGCTTCATTTGTTTCAGCCCATTCAGGTTAGGCTCCCAGGGCTTCTTCCTAACAATTCCCTCCTTCATGCAAAAATGATACAGTACATTTTATGTGACTCAAAGGAAGAAAGAGACTAAGAGAGTAAATTTCCATTTGTTCGATCAAATCAGTTTCAGATATAAACTCTGGCCCTCCTTTAATCTCTTCTTGGAACAAAACTGTTCCCTTTTAAACTGGTTGTCTTCCCAAAGAAATTCTGAACTAACTAGAAGGTAGTTTTTAGAGGTGACAGGGCTATTCTACTATTACCCATAGAATAATAGTCTGTACTCTTCCCAAAACACATCCCTATTCTAGAATAGGTCCCTGTTGTTCTTCTATTCCCTATATATTCCACCTAAGAATATGTTGGTGTGTGCAGTGCACCAGGTATGGAGTTTGGAGTGAACATCTTTTTTACAGCAGAAAAACAGTGTACAGCCAGCAAGGAACCCACAGAGGAAGTTTTCCAAGACATAAATCCATATAGAAGTACCTGGAGGGTGGTGGTGGTGGTGACTGTTCTGAGCCTGTTTACATGCAGGTGTTTCAATTAGTTCTAGCAACACTCACATACATCAAAGCATGAGAATGAGTTCTGTTTTTTGGGTCTGTATGGAAGCATACATATTTGTGCCTAAATATTTTTTGTATAATGTGTGACCAGACTTCTGAAGATGGCTTTGCAGGGATCCTACTAAAATATACTGGATCTGGAGTAATAACTGGGCAAGTGGGAGTTCACAGGCTTCATTGTCTGTTTACTTATAAAAAATGAATATGTTCTAGTAATTAGTGGTTAAAGGAGCAGTTCTGTCAAGAATACATTGACAGAGTAAGTACAGGAGACTTTGGCTATTGAATTCAGGAGAGTGAAGATTTCATCCATTATGTATTAAAAGCCTGAGAGAAGAACAAGCTAATAAATTACACTAGATTCTTACTTGTTCAGTTCTGGCTTTTTATAAAGTAAGCAGACAGGAAAGTCGTGGTAAGCAGAGGCCTACATACAGAACAACATTTTGAAGCAAGAAAGCAGTGACAATTTTTATTTGCTATTAGTGGAGAAGATGTATTGCATTCTGGATAAAAATTATAATTATTGACAGCCTTCTGTACATATCAAACTATGATATAACTTCATGCATGCCCTCCTTCTGTTCTTTACAGATGACCCCCATAAGCCAGAGGAGAAAGATGAAATTTCCAAAGTCACAATCATAAGTCTTGTCCCGTTACTGGTGATTTCTGTTGCTGTGATTGTTATCTTTTATGCCTACCGCACTCACAAGAAGAGGAAGCTCAGCAAGGCATGGGAGAAGAATGTTAAGCCCAAGAAGCATAAGGACTGCAGTGATGGCTGTGCCATTATGTTAGACGACGACCGCTCAGACATCAGCTCCACATGTGCCAACAACATCAACCACAACACAGAGCTGCTGCCCATTGAGTTGGACGTTGTTGTTGGCAAAGGAAGGTTTGCTGAAGTGTATAAAGCCAAATTGAAGCAAAACACATCAGAACAGTATGAAACTGTGGCAGTCAAGATTTTCTCCTATGAAGAATATGCTTCCTGGAAAACTGAGAAAGACATATTTTCAGATGTAAACCTCAAGCACGAGAACATACTCCAGTTCTTGACAGCAGAGGAACGTAAGACAGACCTTGGCAAACAGTATTGGTTGATCACTGCCTTCCATGCTAAAGGAAACTTGCAGGAATATCTCACACGACACATTATCAGCTGGGAGGACCTCTGGAAACTTGGCGGGTCCTTGGCCCGAGGGATTGCCCATCTGCACAGTGATCACACACCCTGTGGTCGTCCCAAAACACCTATCGTACACAGGGACCTAAAGAGTTCCAACATCCTGGTGAAAAATGATTTAACCTGCTGCCTCTGTGACTTTGGGTTATCCCTGAGGCTGGACCCTTCCCTGTCTGTGGATGACTTGGCTAACAGTGGGCAGGTAAGTTAGAAGGTTGAAAGGGGAGCAGGTAATGTACCAGTTTGTCAGTTCCTGGGCTGAAAAGATGGAAAAAGCTTCTATGGCAGTTTTGATTTAAAATAATTTAAAATTAATGTGAATGTGTTTATAAACAAAGAGGCTCTAAACATTAAAGCAACAACGAGAGGAGTGCAATGTGGGTTTTGTTATGATTGGAGACCTGCACGTGTGTGTGTGCAACCATCCTCTCACTTAAACCAAGCATGTATGAGCTTGTTAGCAACTCTTCACAATGCTGCTGCAATGCACACACACAAATACAATAAGGATCTGCTTCATGTTGTGAGGTTTTGATCCAGTTTTCATGCCTGATGGCATTACACTGCTGTGTGACTTGGCCCAATCCTGTTCTGCTCCAGTGTACATGAAGTCAGCCTTGCATCCTCACAACTGTAAGCACGTAATTACTGATACAATTTTAAAATTCAAAAAAGACCTCCTTAATGAATGGTACATTCTCCACATGTAAGCAAATACAAGGATGTCAAATAAAAATAATTGCCCTGTTGTGATTTTTCAACTAAGGAGTATGGATGATACTCATCTACTTGACAGGGATGTTTATTAAGGTGTTGGAGATTACCTACATCTACATATTGTCTCTTTTAATGAAAAACTCTCATAGTATAAATTCAGATAATTTGTTAACTTAATTCCTAATAATTTAATTATACACATATTTGTGTGGTTTTATATTTATCTTTTTATACGAGTCACTCAAATCTTGTCAATTTAAACTGACTTTTACCTTGCATGGAACTAATATTTTAGCTTAGAATATTTTCAGGGACAAATCTTCAGTCTGTGGTGTGCTGTTGAGTTCACAGGAGTTTTACTGTGCTTTATCAAATGTGGATATGCCTTTGGAAGTCTCCTTATTGAAAAGCAACTGTCCTGATCTCATTTTTAGAAGATCTATTAACCAGAGCCAGGAGTGAATGTTAGTTAGTGGAGTCATATTTAAAATGCTACAAACACTACTCTGTTACATATAATTTCTCTCCAGCATGCCAGATCTTTTTAGAGTTCAATGAAGTCATTCATACCAGATTGTCAGTCATAAGACTGGTCCCATTTGAAGCAAGACAAGGACTCTGAAAGTCATTACCCACAGACACTTTGCTTAAAGCGGACCCTTATTGCAAGCTGATTTCATTGCTCAGAGTCACTTGGAAGTAGGAGGATACTGCCACTTCCACAGTCCACACCAGCACTGATGACAAAGTACAGGGCTGCCCAGATCAGGTTATGGTTTTGGAGTTGGTGTCCTTGGGCTCTGATGTTGAGGCTGACTGTTTTATTTTGTTTAGCTTCAGTGAATCTGTTTGGAGGTGACCCAGCTGTTGTTCTTCTCTGTGACAAGGAGCATGAGTCAATTTATTTGGTTCCCAACTCTGCCTTGTTCTTTTTGGGCACACATGAGCAACCCACTTTAATTCTCCAACACTGTTATGTTAGCTTCAATGCTGTAGCTTTTATTAAAGAAGTCTTGCACCAAGATTTGCTTTCTGCGTAATTTCTAGAATTTCCCCTTTGACTCAAACCCTTGCCACTAGGAGATTCAATTTTATAACCTGTATAATGGAGCTGACCCAATTTTTAATTCAATAAAAACCTGATCTTTCGATGAAATAAATAAGAGTGTAAGTATTTAACTGTTTTACTGGTCAACCTTAGACACCAAATTGAAGGCAAATTGTTGGGATTACAAAGCCATCTTCTTTCCAATCTATCCAAATACCTTCCATATCATGCAGATATAGCCATTATTGACTACAATACCAGGCTGGAAACCACCTTTCTACCCTGTAGAACCTTTGCACTCTTTTGAGTTTGGTCATCCATGATGGTTAATATTTGCACACATTACTTAATGTGACCATATAAATCTGGACTTCTTCCCACTGTGTTCAGAGAAGTGGTAGGTGACTGCAAGGACAGCAGTTCTGTACCTCAGCAGCATCAGCACCCTTGTAATAGATGGTTTCCCATAAGAGCAAAAGAGAAATACATACTGCCTCTCTGACTGATGCACCTCAGGGCATGAAACATCTCTCAACAGCTTGAAAGAAATGTAAGATCTCCAGTAAAAGAAGATTCAAACATCACAAAAATGAAGTGAGATGGTCCCTCTCTAGAAGTTTTGGAAAATCAAGAACTGAAAGCAGACTGGTATTTGCAAAGAAGAAGCATATCCAGACTCTAGAGGGGCAATCAGCTTGGAATTTCCAGAGTTCAGATACCTAAAAATGCCTTTGAGGCTCAGGAGTCACTTGTTTTCAAGATACAGAAAAAGTGTCTTTGGCCAAAAGACCTAATAATCTAGATGCAGATAAAGGGACATAAGCAGAATGGAATATATGATAAGTTCTAAGCAGGATGGATATAAGATTGGCCTGATAGCATTCTTCAAGTCCATTTTTGTCTGCGCTTTCTTCTGTGCATTTTAGTTGTAGGCCTTCATCCTCCACTGTCCTGCAAAAGTGCAGAATCCTTTTTATTGCTGCAAAGAGCATGTTAAATTCCAGACCAGGACAGAACTTTGTGGCAATGTGAGGGACCTGTGTTTAGGCATCGTTAATCTTGTTAAAATCTGCAAGGTTTGCAGATGTTTGCCCATGTGCACGGGTAACCTTTTCAAGTTTTGGATGGGGTGTGCTTGGAGAAGAAATCCTGTGCTAGAGAGTTAATGGTGGGTAGCAGCAACCTCTGCTCCAGTGTTTCCATATGTACATTTTATGTAGGTAAGGGAGTTGGTGCTCACCTTGGTGGTGCTGAGACACGACTGTCCCAAGTTCTTCTTCAGTGTATAGCTGCTGTTCACATGCTTGGCCTTAAATTCATCAGTGTCAATGCAGCAGGGAACTTAAATTTGGGACTGCTCGCACTGATTTTTTTTTCTGTTCTCTGTTTATAAAGACTTTGATCCTACAACCCTTCAGATATTTTTGACACAGAGATTGTCTGCTGTTGCAAGGTCCTATGACAAAGCCATGTTCTTGATCTTTCCTTCTTCTTGTGATACTTTCCACTTTTGTGGAACATCTTCCCCTTTGCCCTGAGCCTGAGGTGATAAGACATGTTTACAGAAGCTTATAAAAAGAGTATCATAGGGCTCTGTCAAGACTGTACATTTACTATGTGGCTGTCTGCAGGTGCAGACCCAGTAACTGAAATGATCTTTTGCAGCCCTGCTTGCCTCTGGGCTCTGGAGTGATTGCTGTGGTGTAAACAGCTCATTTAAATCATATGTCCTACTGCATCACCCACTTATGTTTGTTCATCTCTGCCATTAACCAGTCTTCAACTTGAAGCTATCTTTGCCTGATGAAAGACTTCTGTTTGCAGTTTTTCAAGGGGGATATGTTATTTATACCCTGTGAAGAGTTTGTCATTTGAGAGCAACTGTTGAGTGATCCAAGAATTCTTCCTTAAATCTTTTCTTGTGATAAAAACAGACTTTTAAACTTCACCTTCTGTAATGCAAAATCATAATCCAGATCTCAGCAAAGCTGCTAAAGTCATTGCTGAAAATTGCTCAGTATGAATAAAGTTTATGAGAATGTTTTTTTCAAAGGGGCAGATTTTTGGTTTCGATTCAAATGTGTGGTTCTGCATTCTGTATTTGTGTGTTTGCTTTCTTCTCCCAGGCCTGCATTTACTCTCCTTTTAAGCCTGCCATGAAAAGAAACAGCTAACACTGTAATATGCCGTGCAATATAATACAATGTGTTTCTTGCTCATCTGAAAGACACTTGGTCAGCAGCAATTGCTTCAGGCCCAAAGGTTGGAATTTATCTGTGAATGGCCAAAGAGTGAGAAAATTTATCAGTGTCAAAATTATTTGCTTAAGGAACTAAAAAAGGCCTTTTTTTTCCTCACCAGGAGAGGTGCAAGTAAGTTGGTAGTCAGGACAATGCCAGATTCCCCTGGCAGCAGAAAATATGGCCTGCGCCAAGTATAGCCTGAATTTTTGGATACATGTCAAATGGCACTGTTTCTGTGAAAGCTGGAGTTAAATCACAGTGGAATCCAAAACATGAATTGCAATTTCAGCTCTTGAGCTCTCCCCTATCTCTTCTCCTGTAGGTTGGCACAGCAAGATATATGGCCCCTGAGGTTTTGGAGTCTAGGATGAACCTAGAGAACATGGAATCCTTCAAACAAACAGATGTGTACTCCATGGCTTTGGTCCTCTGGGAAATGACATCTCGCTGTAATGCTGTTGGAGGTAAGTGCCATCTGTTTTCTTCTCTCTAAGAGTATGTTGAGACAGACATGCTCTCATGGTTGTCTGGGTAGGTAAATGAACAGCATCCAGATACACCAGAAAATCTTACGGTTTAAGGTTTACACCAAAATCTTAAGGTTTTCTGGTGTATCTGGATTCTGTAAATTAACAGTCCTTCAGTAGTGTGACATGCACATGTGCATGAGCAGGCTTGAACACCAAGCACTGAGCACACTGAGTAAACTGATCCTCAGTTGGTGTAAGGATAAGTTTGCTGTTAGGTAGGTCACTTCTAAAGATTATTAAAGTCTGGTTTCCCTATGACATCTTGGGTAGCCATGGATTGACTCAGTCTGGTTGATCTCATTCAAAATAATTGGAAACATAAGTCAATTTGAAATATTAAACTGAAGAAGTGATAACTGCTTCCCATTTACTTTCATGGAATGTCAATTGTCAAACCTAGTAAGGGCCAGTTAAGTGTCACATTTGCTAATTGGTAATTTCCGTAAGAGGCATCATAGTGGGATGGAAAGTTTCCTGTTTTCCCAAAGTCACCAGCTGCGGCACATCATGCTTGGTGATTTTGCAAGAGATCATCCATATGAGAAATCAAGGGATGTTTGCGGTATAAAGTGTAGCGACAAAATAAAAATGATTGGAACAGACTATCAGAACAGCTCCATGAAAAGCTGCTGTGCTTGTTCATATTCAGAGTGTCTTCTGAAACCAAACTCTCCCTTTCTGCTTTGCCTAAAGTTGACCCAAAATTCCCAGTGTGCAACACTGGTATGTGCTAGAAATCAGAAAAGTTGCTGTTGGGATATCTACAATACATGTTGCCACGTTTGAAGTTTTTTACCTTTCTTTAGGAACTAAGATAAGACAAAGTTGCATGTCAAATTCTTCAGCCTTCTGGAATTGTCTGAGAGTCATTCTAAAAAAATATTGCTGCACAGTTCAGGGCTCACAAAGGCAGTCTGAGGAGCAGGGCTGTAGAAGGTAATACTAATGTGGATATTATAGTAGATATGCAACTGTGATTTGATTTGTTGTCCTTCTTCCAAAACCACAGAGGCTCCCTTTTCACTGGACTTGGCACAGTTCCACCTTGAAGGGCTGCCATAGACGCAGAGACAGGGCAGTCTTGCAGGCTAGAGCACTGTGCTATGAGGAACATAGTGTACAGGAGGGAAACCAGTGTCCCAGGGGAAGATGTGCATAGCTGCTCCTTGTTTCTCTAGCAGCATCTGTGGGATACCACAAGGGAGGTCTCTGAAGCCACTCTGCACAGTGACTGTGTGGCTGCACCACGATGTCCATGTGCAGGAGGGAGGAATTGCCTCCATCTCAGTCTCCTGCTCTGTCTGACCAGCATTTGGTCTTGCTGGGTGGGCTGTATTGTGGGCAACAGATTTGCCCCTGTTTTCACCCTGCCAGGAAAGCTACAAAGTGAGTATGTGTGCTGAATGTGCTAGCATAAAAGCATGAAAAGAACACCAAATTCTTTTCTAGTCAAACATTTAAGGGTAAAACATTTGGTGGTTCAGGAGCTGAACCTCAGTCTGACATATTACAAGGCAAACCTATCCATATTTAATGGATCATGGTCATGCCTGCTTCTAAGTGCATTGGCACAACCTCAGCCTTTCATTAGCACTTTTATAAATGTGGCAGAGGAGATTTAAAACCTGAAATAAAGGAACTGTGCCCTGTCTCATGATCTGTCTCTGTTTCTTACATTTAGGAACTCACCTGACTAATATAAATATGAGCTGTTCACTGTGGAGTCTTTCATCTTTGATGATGCCTGAGTCCCTTCCTGTTCAGATTTGCTGAGTAGGGCAAGATGAAGATTGCAGCAAAAGCAAACCTTATTGCTTCTGTTCTCAGAAGGCAACTGCTAAAAGAGGATATAAAGGGAGTTTCATAAGGAAGGAAAATCACCAGCATGTTTAGCTAGAAGAGATTGACCCATAGTAACCTTGAGAAGAAGAGCTGAAGTTATTTCAGTAAAGGGAAATATTTTTCTGGCCCGCCATCCCCTTTCAAGTGATGCTTAACCCCCACCCACATCCTGGTTTTCCCTATTCATTTCATCCTTCAGTCATTCTCATCACCAGAAACACATTTCTTGAATTTTATTTCTCTATTTCAGTCATCTTTCCTGAGGTGAGGTCCCCAGCAAAACCCCAGGAGCACTAGGGCAGATCTGTAGGGGTTGGAACTTGCTCTTAGCATCTCTGGCTAAAGCAGTTAAACACAACTCCCAGGATGTAGATCCCTTAACTTGTCACTGGCACTGAGCTGCAACAGCAGTGCACCATTATTCTCATTTCCTTCTCAGATTTTCCCCTGTTTTGAGCAGTCTGGTTATCTTTGCAGCCAGCTGGTGAAATACCCTTACAGTGATTCATGACTGCAGCTCCCCCTCTGCTTTTCTTCTCCATCTGTCACTTGTGAGACTCCCTCCTCTCCTCACAGCCTTCCTGAGGAGCTGCCTCTGCTCACGCAAACCCCTCTTTTACTCCTAGACTGTTTGGCAATGAGAAAAATGTCTTTGCATGTGAGGCAGAGTAGGCTGACCTGATTGCAGACAGCCTTTTCAAAGGAGCCTAAAAGATCTAGGCTCTGTCTTTGCAGGGCAGGCTTGGCTGTGGTGTCAGCTCAGGGCAGTTTTGAGGCACAGAGTGGGGAGTCTTAGCCAAGACAACGGCATTAACAACTTTATTTAGGGAGGGAAGCATGCAAGGAAGGGGGACTAATTGCCATTCAGCCACACAGAGGTACAGGGACTTGTTTCTTTTTCAAAGGGAGCTCTTGGGATTCATTTGTCAGTGTGCAGGTGTTCGGTGAGTGTGGGAGGTGATGCAGGCAGGTCCTTTCACTACAGATGCTTTGTCAAACACAGCCTCCACGCTATGCCAGGCCTCTTCAGTCAGCAGACATTTAAAGAAAAATACCCAGCAGCTCAACCCATACTGTGAAGCTGCTGTAGTAAATGAGCAGGTGGGGATTGGTTTTTGTGAAAGGCCACGCTGTTCGTTGTTACTTTGTTGTGCTAAATATGGAGAAGCAGAAATGGGGCACAAGGGAAAGGGAGACAGAGGCAAAGATCGAGGTTGACTGATTTTTCACCAGAGTATAATTTAAGAGGCATATTTAGAAACTCAGCAATACTACTTTGGGGAGAACTTCAACTGTTCCACACTGCTGTTAACTTGGTATTTCATTCAGCACAACAGCTGTGCACCAGATGCTGCACGTTGCAAGAAATACAATTTTCATCTCAACCACTTGCTTTCAGAGTGACACAGCTTTGGTGACTGAGACAAGTGTAATTTCTCTGACAACCTCCTAGAAAGAAAAGAAAACCATCTGGTTTGAATTGCAACTGCTATGGGTGAGGGACTATTGGGGGGGGCAGGGGAGAAGGAGGGGAAAGGGAACTTTTGGATACACAGGTTTGGTGAAGAGGGAGAAAAGAAAGCCCTCATAAAATGGCAGTGTGGCTCGAGCAGTATTGTACTCCTGGAGTGGTGTCTGGCTTCAGTGTGGTAGCAGAGCTTTGTTTAAAATGGCGGCCTTGCTTTACCCGAGCTGTGTTTCATGTGAATAAAATCAGGAGTAATCTTATGCTTACTTGGAAAGTCAGCCAAGAGTCACATTTTGGCAACTAAACATTTGTGCATCCTGTACCTCATGAAATGCTCGGCTTCCATCACACTGACGTGGAGCGGTGACGTTCCTGGCAGCAGGGAGCAGTCAGATGGCCTGTGCAGCAGGGCTGGGCCTGCCCAGTGGGCCCTGAGGTGGCTGCAGCTGGGGACTGATTTAAATTTCTCCTTCTGTGAAGCAGAGCCAAATCAGGACATGTCTGCACTGCACTGGCTTGTAGTGGCATACAGCCCTGCTTGGTAGATCCACACAGTGCAGTGTCACCCCATGACAGGCACTCCTGTCCTGGAAATTCTCCCAGTGTCACCACAGTGCTACATGTAAGGCAGCAAGTGCTGTCCTTCATCAAGCCCAGTAGATAAGGTCACTGTACCACACCCCGTGCTGAGCACAGATGTACTCTGTGTTTGCCACTTCCCACCTCAGGATTCACTGTGCATTGACTGAGCAGCCCCTAAACCTACACTGATGGCAGGGCTGGCTCGTGCACTCTGAAATCTTTAGAAGTGTGACTGGATCTTAGATCATCAGATGTGAAGTCACTCAGGAGGTATGTGTGCACAATGAGTTCACTCATCCCAATGCATCCTTCCCTCAACAGGGAAACCTAGGGAAATTTATGAAGTAAGCATTTGACAGCATCTTAAACTTGGCCTGAAACAGCTTTTGGGCCTCTGTTTTGGGCATTATTTTCCCTTTGTGCAACTAGTGCAAGTTAGCAGATTCAATACCCAAATTCCTCTAGCATGAAGAAAGACACCATCTGAACTATCTGTACACCCTACCCGTGTTTGCATGAGCTGTCACAGCAGCTCCGCCATCAATTGATTTATCACTTCTTCCCCCTCATAAGCTCTAAATAAAGGGGCATTTCCAAGGAACCTAGAAGTTCCCAAACACAAGCTCACTGCTGCAGACTCTGCCTCACAGTTGACTTCTGTTGGCCTTTCACCTCACTCCTGCTTTGATCCTGCATATAAAACATCATCCAACATGAGAAGTTGTCCCATGGAAATCAGTAAGATAGATCACATAAGGGAGTGTCAACAGGGTTTGCGGTATGCTTTTCTGACCCAAAGAAAATTTCACTGCAAAAAGCTTAGAGTAGAAAAAGATCACAAGTGAGCCAAATTTTCAAAGCTTTCATCACACAGAACAAATAGATTTTCAGTAATGTCTCTGTTTGGGGCTAAAAATCCTATCCCTGCCTTTCTGAAAACTGTAGCTAGACCAATGTCAAAAGAAACTAGAGGTTCAGCAGTTAGTAGTGCGAGTCAGCTCTCAACCATAAAGATTAAATGCTGGAGGTTAAAGTTGAAGGAAGTCTGCCATTTTTGAATGCTAAAGGTTCTGTAGTCCATGGTTCCTGTTATATTTATGGTACTTCATTCAGTTGTCATTTTTGGTGCCCAGCTGGTCTAAAACCAATGAAAAGAAACATATAAGGCATGAGAAATAGAATCAGCCTCTGTATACAGCCACACACAGGCATCTAGCCACAAACATCTTAACCTACCTCAAATTGACATCTGTTACATCTACTGCAGCACATAAACATGATCCATGAATAACACCGGCTATTACTGCAAAACATGTCTGACACTTAAGATTCCACAACATTAGGATGACTTACTGCATGAGGATTTAGTGGGCTTTTTTTTTTACTTTCCAAGGGAAAGAGAAGCATGATAATAAATAGCAAGGAGATGCCACATGCTTTTCAACCTGAGGGAAGGCATGACTGTATTGGTAGAAAGTCATTACAGTGGATTGGCATCTGGCCTAAATTTCTCTTTCTTTACCATAAACAAAAACAAAGCAACAACAAAAAATCCAAATCTGAAAAATTTATTCAATCTTTATATTTGGAAGGGGAATGGTCATAACTTACAAACAATTTCTCAAACAGAAAAAATGTATTATGAACCTATCAATTGCCAGGAAGAGTTTTCCCTTCTCCTGCTTGAACCATCTCATTTACTTGAGCAGCCTTGAGATTTAATTAGTGAGAGGGAACAAGAAGTCAGCATCACAGCACCAGCTTCCCTCTGTTGGCCATTGAGACTCTTCTAACTCCTCACCCTGCAAGATCTCAGAATGTTGACTGGTGTCCATGACCACTACCACAACTGAACCATGACTGATGGAGATGGTGCAGGAAATGGCCATCTAGGTCATGTGATTTAAATTCTCCCGGTGAATTTTAATACTTTTGTTGGCTTTGAACATATAGGTATGTGCAGTATAATCATTGTGCATCCACTGCATGCTAACCCATGTCTGACTAGCAACATGGCAGCTTCCCTATTCATTTCTAGGGCTAAAGTCTTACAAATATATTTTGCCTGAATCATCTCAGACTCAGATTAATGTGGGTGAAACTGGTTTGCATTCTTGCACAGGAAAGAGAATGAGGCAGACTTTGGCCTTTGGGTCTTAGAAGATGGAAGTTTTGTTTCTGGGCTCTAGCCATTCTCCAGAGCATCTTGTGGAAAGTAGCAAGCAGCAGATTGCTAGGGAGAAGGAAGAAGGGCTCTGCAGGAGGCATCTACGGGTGATCTGCTGTGCTGCACACAGTTGTTTGCAGCTGAATCTCTAAATGCTGAGCATTCAAAGCATGAGGTTTAATATCCCTTCCAAAATGTTTGTTATTGTAACTTGGTCATTCTTTTTAAGCATCAGCCTCATTAAGTCTTTGTCTCATGGCCATCACATGCAAGTGAGATCTACAGCCTGACTTCAAGGCTTTGGAGAAAAATCCAAAGATAGTTGTCTTCAATACTACCTTGGTTTTATCATGAGACATGGCAGAAGGATCTGACCTGTGTCATCTTGATCCTTAGTTATTTTCAGTAGCATATCATCCTTACTTTTCTCTCCCAAAGTAAACAAACCCAAGTGTTAGAGGTTCTTCCCATTTCTTCTGGGTCTTTAATCCCTATTTATGCATTCTCGGCAATTTTTAGCACTTTTGAGGAGTGAGCAACACTGGGTACTGCAGTTGAACTTGGTTGTAGCATCATGCAGCAGTGGTTTGTCTCTCTGCTCATTTGTCTCTGTTCACACATCATCTGGGCATTCACATGCATTCTCCAGACTGCTTTGTAGATTATACTTCAGTTTTTCTTGCCCCCAATTAATTCCTAGAAAGAAATAAGAGGCAGCAGAACAGGCCAACTTCATAAATCTTTATCTGATAGCAGCAAGTCATTAGGCCTGTGAGTAAAGTCTCCATCTGTTCCCAAAGAAACCACAGCATTTTCTACACTGTGTCAGCATCTACTATAATATTTCCGCTCTCAGAGATTTCTTGAGTTTTCTCCAAGAGTCCCATATGTCTGCCTCTTCCTTTCTCTCTCCAAAGAAAAGCAAAGAAAATATGCAACATGCAAACAAAAACTAGAGTGGCAGCAACCCCTTCAGAAAGCTGTGCCCCTGTATCACAGGCCAAAACTGATCCATTTTGGGAAGGAAATCTAAAATAAGAGCAGACTACTACTTTCTACAAAAGAATGCAGCTTAGGAGTAAACAAGGGCAGTGTGGCAGCTTCCAGCATTGCTCCTTAACTGTATCTTTGCCCTTTCCTAGCAATCCCCACATTCACATCTACCATGACCTAGATATATTTCAGTTTATATTTCACCTGATAAGTGTGTGTGGACTCCAGGAGAGCTAAGGGAGACCAACTGTTCAAAAGCTTGGCTCATGCAAAACTCACCTTAAACCTCCTGTGCGTTTTACCTCAGCAGAGATTGAAAGGCTCACAAACCAGTATAGATTACTCTGCTTCTTGGACTGTTGCTAATATTATTATGTACTAAAGGGTTTAAATGAGAATTGTTTTGTTGGCTAGGAAACAAAAGGGGAGGGAGTGTGTGTGAGAAACACATTTGAAACATTTTTGAAAATGCCAACTGGCTTTGCTTTGTTTGGAGCTGGTCAAGCAGAACAGTGGCAGCGAGCAGCTAATCAGTAGCTCCTACTCCTCAGAGAACAACCAGCTCCCTCCACTCTTGGCACCAGCACAGCCTGGCTAAATACCCTGTGTTTGCTTCTTTCCCAGAAGTGAAAGAGTACGAGCCCCCCTTCGGCTCCAAAGTGCGAGAGCACCCTTGTGTGGAAAGCATGAAGGACAATGTCTTGAGAGACAGAGGGCGGCCCGAGATCCCCAGCTCCTGGCTTAACCATCAGGTAAGAGCACCACACGTGGGCAGTGGGAGCTGCACTGTACATTTAGCTGCTGCCTGAAGCCTGAGCCTTACCTCAGTGCCCTGGCCAAGAGGCTGCACCTCTCTTTGCATGGAGAGGTCTGTCGCACATGAAGAGACTCCATCACAGAGTAGCACTGGTGCTGACGTGGTTCAGGCACCACAGCCCTGGTATTCCTGCTGCACACCAGTGTAATCCAAAAGCAGTCAAAACAGAAACACTGGAAGCCTGAGATCCAAAAATCATCCAGAGAGCCGCAGAATAGTTAGGCCCTTAAAGTGCACTGTGTGTAGGCTCTGAAAGGGCAAAGAAAACAACTTCACACATGGGCCTCTGTTGCAGGCAGAATGAGAGCTTCAGACAAAATTTATTAGAGAAGCCCTCCTGTTGAGTCATGAGGTACAGAAAGGATCCCCTTGCTTTCTAAATGCCTTCTCAGAGAGGTGTCTACGTGTGGCTGGGCTGTCTTAGCCCCAGCTTTTGTCAACAGTTTACATTTTAAGGACTATATAGGTGCAATTGAACCATTATACAACTTTGTCCCACATGATTAAGGTTGTCAAACCAGATATAAAAATATAAATTATTTATTATTATAATAACTAGACAAAAAGGTCTTAGAGTTATGTACTACACAGTGCAGGAGCTGTAACGACTCGTATAGTGTGCACTATGAAGCAATATTGAAGCAATCATATTAAAGCAACTGTACTAAAGGTAGAAAACCAATTATTAACTTAAGATTGATGTCAGACACCCATGCCAACAGCCTTAGGCAAATCTCTTCTGCTCAGCATCGAGGAGTAACCTTGAGGTATTCTAACATAACTCCTCAATGGAGTTATGTTAGAAGATGCTGTTGTTGAAAAGTGGGACTGGGCTTTCATATTATAAAGCAATTGACTGTCAGATGTCTCCAGGCCAGCTCAGTCAGCTCAGCAGTTTTAGATAAGTTATTAATAGTATCACTTGTTTGTTCTTTTGTTGTGTAGTTCACCAGATCTGCCACATCTTCACCTCACTATCAAGATGTTTAACTTTGAGTCAGGCTGGTTTCAGCATTATTCAACACCAAAAGCAGCATGATGCCCTTCTCCATTCACCACTGGTAGCTTTGCAAACAGGGCACTCTTCAAATTTGTTTTACCCCATTTACAGGGAGACCATCCTATTACAGAGGATCTTCAGCAGAAAAAGCAAATCTGAGTACTTTACCATGGAAACCAGCCATAGTTGTATCCCAACTGTTGACAGGTTTAATGAAATAGGAAATTAGTCTTCAGCAAGCCAGCTTGGTTTTATTCAGGTTGTGCATTAGCAGTCCATTTCCCTTGCATATCACAAAGCACTTTGTCAGCTTCCTCCATTCACGAGCACCATGGTTGCACTTCCTAGGCAATGGTAGATTTTTCAGTAGAGGAAACTGAATGGAAACAAGCCAAACACATGCATTTCTTCACCTTTGCTCTCAGTAGTTTTATCAGTAGAGATAAAATGTGAATCATGTTAGAGAAGTGAGGCTTGGTCATTCCACTTCTCAATGAAATATGCTGAGTGGTCTTTAGTGACAAAAGGAAAGTATCACAAACTTTTACAAAAGCCCAGGCAACCAAGAATATAATCTACTATTTCTATCAGGAGCAATGTAACACTCCTTTTTTAATTCCATTTGGGAAGTTAAAATCAGTCTGACAGCTACATAAAAAAGACCAAGTGAGTGGCTAAAATCAATCATCTTTCCAGCCAGGAACACCTGCCACCTGATGACTATGGCAGAATGCAGCCCCTTCCTGGACTGCAGGAACTTGCTCCTTATGTACTCAGCTGTGAGGGGTAGGCTATTGAGGAGGGGCTTTCAACAAGGGAAGAAAGTTGAATTTTAACAGACACCTGGATATCTTGGATATCTGATACTACCAGCACTAAAAACCCTTGACAGCAAGGCTGAGTGTGCTGAGAGTTGCAGGTTGAGGTACTGGCATAGACCGGTAGGATACACTGTGGATTTCATCGCCTCTGGGTTTATAAAGCAAGTAAAATGATCATGATTTGGACCTAGGTGTCCTGCATTTGACTTCAGAGGTTTCTTCCATGTATAAAACCCACATCTCAAACTGCCCCAGCACAGAGAACCCCACCAGCTGGGAGGCCATGCACTTGTGCTTGTGTCACCAGAATGGGCACAGCTGGCCCCAACAGGGTTCAGCTAAGAGTCTAGGGAAGGAGATGCCTGATAACATGCTTAGAGGACATTTAATGAAGGTGGATTTGATTCCCTTTGCCTGAATCCCTTCAGTGTTTCACATTGTGCTGTTTAAGATGCAGTGATGCATCAGTTTCTGCAGTGCTCTGACAGTTTGCAGCAGCTGAGGATCTGCTTTGAACTCTGTAGAAGTTGTTCTTACTGTAATGGCTCTTCCATATTCATTTCCTTCCTCTGCAGTTGTGTTTTTGTAATGAACTCATTATTCATCATGATAAAATTCTGGAATAGATTTACATATTACAATTACCCCACACCCCCCTTAATGAGATTTGTTGCACTATTGATTTCAAGTTAATGTTTAATATTTAATTTAATTTACTGCTTGTAATTTCAATGCCAGCAGAAAACTAATGTTATTTGCATACAGAGAGTAACATTCTGCTATTAGCATTGACATCAGTCAACATCACCAATTAGGTAAAATAAACAATTAATGCAGTGTTGTGAAATGTTATTTTTTTAAATAAGTTTAAGATAAATCCTACTTAATGGGCTTTTAGTATCATAAAACAAAACACAGTTTCCTGTGGCAAATACTTCATGTTTATAAAAATCATTACAGAGATGCAACTGTTTTTTTGCTCCTGAAAACATTTGCATTGGAATTGAAATGAAGGTTAAACAGTTACAACTGTGAGTGATGTGCTTAAGTGTTTGTGGGACTGTGGACCATATTTGCACATAGATTTAGGTAGTCTACAAGGAATTCATAAAGAGCTGATGTACAGCCCAATATTGCTGGCAATCAGAATTCTGTTTGAAAAACCCAAGCAGAATTCAGCATGCAGAGGCATGGGTTGAGCAGGAGGTCATGTGATCCATGTTGATCATATTTATTAAACAAAAAACCCTGCTTGATTCTATATCACTAGTCTGAAGCATCGTTGTTCTTGTTATATCAGACAACATGCCCAGAAATGACAGTTCCAGCTAAAGCGCTGAAAATATTGTAGTAGTGTTCCTTAAAAAAAAAAAAAAAACAAAAAAAAAAGAAAGAAAAAGAAAACAATGCCCCCAAGACAGAAGCTGCAGATCCCATAAAGGACCCCCAGGACACACGTGAAATAACCCCCAAATGTCTGAGGGCCTGAAGCAGCTCAGTGCGCGAGGCGTTGCTGGCGGCTGCCCCGTCACGGGCGCTGACTGTGTCTGTGCTCCCCGCAGGGCATCCAGATGGTGTGTGAGACGCTCATCGAGTGCTGGGACCACGACCCCGAGGCGCGGCTGACGGCGCAGTGCGTGGCCGAGCGCTTCAGCGAGCTCCGGCACCACGACAGGCTCTCGGGGAGGAGCTGCTCCGAGGAGAAGATCCCCGAGGACGGTTCCGTGACCACCGCCAAGTAGCGCACGCCCGGGAGCTCCGGGACGGAGGGAAGTCGCTCCTAGACGTGCTCACCTTGGCAAAGGAAGAGGTCTTGACCGGTGCCTTGACTTGCTTCCTGGAGGACTGAGGCTGTCACTACTCCCTTTGGGCTCCAGCTCTGGACAGGGAGATGTATTCTGGGAATTACAAGCTGGGGGAGTAGCAGTCATACCCTAGCACTGGCGGCCAGCATCATGTCGTAGGAGGAGCTATATATGGTAGCACTTCCTCAGGAAAAGGATTTGAAAATAGCCAATAACATTATGCACTTTATTAATGCCTGTATATAACTATGAAATTGCTATTTTTTTATATATATATATATATANTATATATATATATACATATATATATATATATAAAATGTGTGTGTATGTATATATATATATATATATATGTATCTCTATGTATCTATATATCTATAAACAGCCATGTCCTGGGAAAAGAAAAGTTACTAAAAGAAAGTGCTTCCAGGAAATTACCAGTACATTAGAAATCCCACCCCTTAGGGAAGGAGCCTGGGGGGATTGGTATAGCACCACACCAGCAATTCTGCACTAAGCGTTCTGCCAAAAAATAGGAATAATATGCAATAAGAAGATGACTTTCCAGGCATGTGCTGTGACCACCTGGCTGTCATCCTGCTGTTCACAGGAGCAGGAGCAGTCTCACAGCAGACAGGCAAAGTTGACTTTGCAGTTACTTGCATGGTCCTGTCTGCAGCACATTGTGGAAAATTCAGGAATGCCTTTTCCCTCTCACCTTAACCCCAAAGTCCTCAAAGTGTTCCAGAACAGGCATGTGAGGAGGGTTGGTCCTTCCCACATGTGTGTTTTGTGAGTTCATTAATGTTATATGTTTATTGCTTTGAATTTGTGCTGCTTGCAAACAGATTGCAAAATATCAGCAGGATCAGTTTTCCCCTCCTCCCGTTCCCACCCCCAAACCATACAGAACAGGACAGGGCCAGCAACAATCCAGGCAGATGTTTTATATTTGCTGAGCATTCTGAGTGTGGGCAGTCCTATTATTTTCCCCCTGTCTTTACCTTGATTGTGTTGCTATAAGAACAAACTTTTTTTTTCCCTTTTCCCTGTACAGTGTGTCTAATTGCTGGGCAAACCACAGTGTGACTGTTCCACTCTTTCTAAAGAAAGAGGCAGCAGCTGTTGCCTTTATTTTTGCAAAAAGACCTTGGAGGTGAGGGAAAGCTCCATAGCAATAGGTTAATGGCATATCCTGCCCTCAGCATTGCTTGCATTTAGGGCTGCCTCAGCAAGTCAGCAATTCACAGAATTAAAAAAAAAACAAAAACCAAAAACAAACCAAAAACAAAGAAAGACTTTTTCAACAGGATCTTTCAGACTTTGCTTGCATTCTTTCAGTTCCCCAAAATGCTTGAGACAGTTAACATCACATTGGGCCTATATACATGACAGCAGTGTGTTTAAGAAGTGCTAAAAATTTTGTCTTTAGGTGTTTTTCAGTGATTTATCCACTTTTCTCTTCCTCATGGCATGTCAGCAGGCCTTGCAATTTAGAAATTCAACCAGCACAAACCAATCCTGGACACATGAATCTGGTGTTGTTTATTAAACGCCTTTGACAGATAAATATCAATATTCCTCTCAAAAATGTTGCCATGCAAGTCAATAGGAATCATGCTTATTCAAATAGGAGTTAAGATTTATGATGGCAAATACTTTATTTGAAATGGTTTTGTAACTGCTTTTTTTTTTTTTTATTTTAACCAAACTGCTCAGAGATGTTAAAACAGAGTGGGGCAAAACCTCCACACCTACAGTGGAACTTCGAGGATACTATGGCATTTTTTTAGGGATGGAATGTTGTAAATTCACAGGGCCATAGGCAGAGGTAGGACATGTGGGTGGGGAGTGCATCCAGGCAGGTAGAAAGTCATTACAGTGGTAATGACTCAGTCTCAGCCCATTTCTCTTCCTCCATCCACACAGAAGGTCAAGAAATGGCAAGCAGTAGTTCCTGACAGTACTGACGTTTTTATGGGGTTTTTTAACACTACATGTAAAGGAAAATTTTTATTCTTTTAAGGAGTACTTCACCATGTACATCATGTATGAAATAGGAATGTGAGCAATATATACTCTTGTATATCAAAAGTTTCAAACACTTAACTTGCTTTGTAAACTGTTTTGAGGGGGTTTTTGTCTTGTTTTGTTTTGTATAAATCAAATGTTTATTGAAGCAAATAAAATAACACCAATTCAAGTTCGTCTCTGGATCATCCAGGATAGGGAGAGGGCTCTTCCTAAAATGAACCCTATCCCAAATTGATTCAAGTCCATTTCTTCCCACCAGGGGCCTGAATGTCACTCTCAGTCTGTGCAGTGTGCTTTGCTAATGACTCCTTCCCCTGGTCTCCAGCCTGCCCTTCAGCAGAGCAGCACCAGCAGATGGCCAAACTTGCTGGCCCCTTAGCCCCTGCCCTGTTGTACCTTCACTAGTCTCAGAGGAAGGGAGGGAGAAAGGGCTTACAGTTGGTGCTGTCCTGCTTCTGCCTTGCTCGGGTCTCAGGTGGATGTGACTCTTACAGACATGGTTTAGTCAGGGACTGGGCAGTTTTGGGTTAGCAGTTGGACTCTGTGATCCTAAAGGTCTTTCCAGCCTAATGCATTCTATGGTTCTATAGTTAGAACCATAGCTAGACCTCAGTTGTTTTGGTGCTGATATGCAGGTGAGCCAGAAGACAGCCCACTAAATCTGTGTCACTGAGAAGTGCATGATTAATGTGCTTGTGCCTTACAGCTTCTGCTCTCCACAAAGAGCTTTCACCTTTTTAAGGTGATACCCCTCCCATGGAAGGCATGCAGAACACAGATTGAAAAAAAAAAATAAAATAGAGCAAGATACCTCCCTCTGCCCTCTTCAAATTGTCTTAAATGTTACTTGGGTTGAATCTAAGCTTTTGCACAGCGTGCCATCCACCAGCATCTGATACTGGCATCTGAGATGCTCCAGACATCACCACTTTTTAATAGATTGTATTTTCATGCTAAAACCTCCACTGACCCTCACACTTGGCTGCACTATCTTCTTTTGAACCTTCGAGTGTGGATACCTCAAAGAGGAATCCACGTCTTCATTCATGAGTCAAGCAAAATCACAGAATAACTGAGGCCGGCAGGGGCATCTCATTCTGTTATGTGATTGTTTGTCATCTGTCCAGGGTTCATGTCATCTGGTCATGCTCAAAACAGGGACTTAAATCAGGTTGCTGAAGGCCTTGTTGAGTTTTGAGCATGTCAGTGGTTTCACAGCATGTCAGCAATTTCAGTCTCTCTGGGCAGCCCATGCTGTGAACAGAGCAGCACACACGGGCAGTGTCAGGTGCACAAGGGACAGTGGCCACATCTAGTCTGAAGCTGGCAAAAGGAGCGCTTTGTGAAGGAGGCCCTGCCTAGGTGCCCCCCAGGCAGACAGCCACAGGTGAGCAGCTCTTCCTCCAAGACAGCTGCCCTCTGCCAAGCACAAGAACAGCTCTCAGCTTCCTGACAGGATGCAAGGGCTCACTGCCCACACCTCTGTGGTTTCCAGCAGTGCCCTGCTGAGCCTTGGCAGGCCCAGCACCCCTGTGGCTGGCCCTAGCATGTGCCAGTGCGCTCAGTGGCCACCCCTCAGCAGTCCCCACCACTGGCCACATATTGGCAAAGACCTTCAGGCCCCACATCCTGTTTATGCTGGCTCAAAGTCTGAGTCCTTTTGGCATAATACAGAAGCAAGTGTTGCAAATGCATTTTAAAAATGTAGCAGGCAAATTCCACAGATCTTTTAGTGTTGAAGTACTTGATATCCTTGAAATAAAGTACTCTATATACTTCTAATACTATTTTTTTCAGTTAAGGTATTGCCCATCTTTCTTATCCTAAATATTGTATTGTATATCCTACTGTGAGCAGCTCCTAATTAGCGTGTTGGTCAGCATTTTATCACCAGAGTGCACAGCAAGGAGGCTCCAGCTGTGCAGTGCAAAAAGCAGTCCTTGGCTTTTCTGCTGAACCTTGCAGTGGTCTCTACTGGATAAGGAAGTTTCCCAGTGCAGCCTGCCTGTGTCACCAGTTCACATAATTTCCAGCACAGTGGGGATTTCACCCCCTTCTAGGATACTCCAAATTGCTACTGGAACAGACACAAATGATAAAAGAAGGAAAAAATAATGACCCAGCTTCTAAGGAGAAAAAAAAAGAAATAGAAAAGCATTAAGACATCATTATTCCAAATGCACCTGGAAACAAACTGGGCCACATGTAGAGCACCTGCAATATTGTCCTCTTGTCAAGCCAGCTGTCCTGTGGCCCAAGGGCTTCCTTTGCTCCCAGAGGAACATTGATTAATTTATTTCCCAATCCTTATTTCTTTCTCTCTCTACTGCTTGCTTTTTTGGTTTTTTTTTTTTTTTTGTGGCATTATGTTTTTAATAAAATTCTGCCCATGGCAATTTTTCCCTCTGGCCACAAAAAAGATGGAGTGAGTTCAGTTCCAGACTGTCTGCCTGTTCCTGAATGCAGCTTGGCTGCCTTCATGCTGCTTATTACTTGGCAAACTCTCCTGCAAGTCAGTGCACACCATGTGGGTGTTGAGAAGGCTCTTGCTGCGGGGGCTATGGCAAAAATTTGAGTCTCAGCCTAGGTCAACGTAAATGATGCACCTCATTGCAGGATTTTGGTGCTTGGTTATTTTTTTTTTCTTTCAGACACCTCTGTCCTGTTGGGTTACATTTCCCAGCACAACCCACAAGACTCAGTTGGCCTGAATCCATGGTGCCCCAGCCTGGTTGTCTGGACCCCATTTCCTCTCCATGCCTTGACCTACTGGCTGCTCTCACCTACTTTTGACCTCTGGATGCTGAATGGTGTTGCTCATGGGCAGAAAGCTGGAGACAGTGGTTTGTTGAAATACAGCCAAATTGTGAGTCTCCTGAGGGGACCAAGCCCAGGAAATAGATTTAAAATTCTTGACTAATGAATGCTTTGAGCACCATCTAATCACTTCATGAAGAGGCAAAGGCAAAAGGCAGCTCATAAATTATCTGTTGTGAATTATTTGCTCAGCTGTAATGGTGATAAAACAATCTCTTCAGATAGTTTCATTTAGGTTGCTAAACTCTTAAAAAGATTAGACAGTCACCTGATCCAGTTTGGCATGATTAAACCCTCACTGCTAAAATGTCTCTCCTGCAAAACATTGCCATGTGAAACCAGGGAGAGCAAAGATCCCTGGCATTTCTTCCCGGGCAGGCCCTGTCCTCTGTCACAGGGGGGAGCACTCACAGCTGAAAACACTTGTTCTCTTTC